TTACACCCTAACCCCTAGACAGGGTCGTAACAATACTTCGACCTGCATATTTCTGTATCACACATGTATGTGCACGTGTAAACATATTCGGCCAATAAAGCTGAGTCTGACGTGTACATGCAGTGTAAAACTACAGTATTATTTTTTCAAATGTGATGCGTTTATATTCAAATTTATTAACAAAAACACCAGCAGATGATGTGGCCTGTAAATTTTAAGGGCATCACACTGCTAATATTTACAATAAATCATAAAATATAATGGCATGCAGATGGAAATGGTGACTGTGTGTTTATTCTGTGCTCTGCTCACGGCATCCATGTACATAATGAGCAGAGGCAGCAGAACAAGTCGGGAAAATGCGCTTTATGAGATAAATGGAAATGGAAGAAAAATATAGCAAGCAATAGCAGATGATATGAAAAGGAGCAAAGTCGGTGTCAAGCTTTATAGAGCCCATCCTCAGTGTGGTGCCCTGGTTCTCAGGCTGCCTGATTCCCCAGCAGGGTGGTCTCCGTCTCTATCCATTATTTCCTATTTTAAAGGCTGATATTGATCTAAAACTCCCCTATGTGCTACGTTCATATTTATTTGTGCGTTTATTTTGAATGTTTTAATTTCCCAATTTGTATTATTCTGTCATAAAGCTTTCTGCCAAAACCAAAAGCAGGGCTTGAGAAGGGGATTTCGGAGGAATCGAATCGCTGCGATTTGCCATCCATTCGCTTGTGCGCTGGATGCAGATGTGGGTTCCATCGCACCCACAGCAGGTGCCTGTGATTCATGTCAGTGCCCGATAACTTCTCATGTCGTGATTGTGTCTGTAAAAAGTTTCATGCAAACTGTGTTGTCTGTGCGTGAGCGAGACACGGGCCCGACCATGTTCACTAACTCGTCGTCTTCTCTTCACAGGTCAGGGATCACAAAACATCTGGGACCTTTTGGGAGGGCAAACCTGGCCCTAAGCGAGGAGTATGGATGGTTTCTTACATTTCGAATCTACGTCCTCAGCTCCCCGGCATCACATCTGCTGCCAGAACTTTTTTTTTCACATCGTCGGGGCAGCCACTGAGAAATGAATGACGCGGTAATGGAAACATGCCTTGAGTGTGGCCTGCCGCGGCCATTCACTATTTCTCAGATAAGGACCGGCGTCTCGACGTGTGTGAGTAAAAATCGGACGAAATCCTAAAGCCTTTTGCTTTAGAAATCGCCTCGACCATGATTGATTTCTCATTCTTGTTTACAGGTGGAGAGAAACCTTCCGGAAGATCAGCGGCAGCTGGTGGCCCATCTGATGTGCCACAGTGTGGAGACCGCTGACTTTTTATGTCACGGCCCCCGACCTCGCCGAGGTCCACAGGGGCAGAGAGTTTCTCCTGCAGGCCCTGGGCCTGAGCATGGGTCCGCGGCATACTCAGGGCTTAATGGCTTTTATCCATGGTTAACCTTGCATTATTAGGTGAGTCTGTCAAACCCAAATGTCTTCCTGCATAGCACAATGAAGCTGAACCACATCCAGGCCAAATGTTGTTCAGAAATCGCCACAGATTCGTAAATCACATCTGGCCCGGCCCACATCTGCACCAGAATCAAAAGGTGACTCAGAGGGCTAAGTCTCTGTGCTCGTGCCCAGGAGGTCCCTGGTTTGAGCCCCTACCCCAGGACCTTGCTCCATCTTGATCTCAATGACACACAGACACACACAGGTGAGAGTCACAGCACCAGCTGTCAGCAGTGTGCCTGCAGTGACCGGAGTCAAGGGCTCTGTTTAGGGGCCCAACAGCAGCAATAGTCTGCTGGCCCCGGGATTCGAACCAACAACCTTCCTATAGAGTCCTAACCCGCTGAACCAGACACCACCCCCTAATAAATAAACAAAAACATCAGAACCAGTCTGGAATGGGTTGTAGATTAAATAAATAACAGATACCATAAAACATAGCCCCACCCCCAACATAGGGCATGATGGGCTTTTTCCCACAACAATATTTTATAATATGCAGGATGCAGTGGGGGTTTTTTTATAGTTGGGGGGGCACTTTTCATGCGTTATTCACAGCATTCTTGGTTAGCATCTCAGACCACAGAAACCATTTAATATGGAGGAAAAGTTTTACTTTACGATGGTGACGGTTACATATGCAGCTTCCATATGCGAATAGAAAAAACAATTTCACAAGACAAAGCAAATTCCAACTACGACAGCAACACACTCTGTGTCACGTAAAAAGTAAATACATCTACACACTTAACTGCCTTAACTCAATATGAAATGCAGTCAACTATGAAAGTAAAAAACAGGGGCAGAGACATGAAGGATCCATGACGGCGAGTGGGAAGGAAAAATACAAAGTTTTTCAGCCTGATTTTAGTGAAGCACAAGCCAGGCAGTTTGGAGGACAGTCTGTTCTCTTCTCCCCAAAGACTGAGAGCTCACGTGTACCTGGGCCAGGTGGCGTTCAGGACGGGGGCAGAGGGGGGACAAACAGAGCGGCACTGGAGTCTATTTGACCAGAGGTCTGGTTTTGTCATCGTCCCCACACTGGTGCGCTTTGTATTTTTTGACCTCAGCCATATACTTAGTCCAAGCATCTCCTTTACCAGCCACAACCTGGAAAATGGAGGAGAGACTGTGGGTAAGTTTGCAGAAACGTATCACACGCTGCCTTTCAGGAGATGTGCAGCGTAATGTCATGGCGAAAAGCTGCTAATACTGTGCTAACCCTGTTTGGAGGAAGAAACTATTTATATGGGTTAGTAAACACCATTCCAATAAACGGCACCATACATCTCTGGAAAAAAAATCTCCTTTTGTAACGCAAACAACAAAAATCAGAATCTCACATATCAATACAAATAAATCATCACTTTCTGCACACAACAGAGAAGTTCTGTCAGTGTCATCAACAGTTTTTACGAGATCCGAAGTGTTTTGCTATATTACTGGTTGAAATTTTTTATAATTGCCCGTTTCATACGACTTTTTAACAACATGAATTATTCATTTAATTTTAAAACAAGACGAGCACCTCTGGCTCCAGTTTCTGCTTCTTGGCTACCATCCCGGTCTTGAGGGCCAATTTGGCGCCGCCTCTCCGCTTGCCCACCTGGGTTGTAGGGGATAAAAGACTGCAACCGTTACAGGAGCCTTTCCAGGTGCACCGATCATGACGGGAACGATCAAAGTCGGCGACCGCAGGCTACACTGACACAGCTACTCAGTGCGTCCCCACAGTGTAACTCACTGGCCGGACTGAGTGGCCCGATAACAGGGATTAACGTCTTCATCGGAATGCGCCATTTCCACACCGTAATTTTGTTACAGCCAGGACATTAATGTATTATAGATAAATACAATGCGGCCTGTTAGAAATTAGCTAGGTTCGATGTTTTCTAATGCAATGCTGTTTGATGAGAACCTCTTGCTATTTACTAGGATTAAACATCTTAAGATTTTTCACTGCAAAATAAGACACTAAATTACTCGGCTAACTTTAACTAAATGAATATGGATGCTGCTAGTTTACTGGCTTGTTTTAATCTCTGCGTTATTACTGCCAAACCCCTTACAAAGCTGGTCACGTTAACTGTCTTCTTTTCTTGCGTTGACTGTCCCTCTTCTGCAGATCTCTTTTCGCTCTGCTCTTGCTCCAGTTCTCTTTTCCTTTTTTCCTCCTCCATTTTTTTCTTAAACATCTCCATGAAGCTGCCGTCGTTGGCGAAAGCGTTACCCCCGGGCGCCTTGCAGGGAGCCGGGCTTGAGGGCGAGCCGCCGGGACTGCTGCCGCTTGAATCGCAGCTACTGCTACTCTGACTTGTTTTCGTGTTGCTGCGTTTTGAGTCCATGATGTTTGTTTTAAATATGTCGTATCTTATTTGCAAGTAATAGCGACGCTCCAGCTACTGTTCAGGCGGCGTTCTCCGGCTGTGGGTAACACAGCAATGCGCGACCCCACCCGACCAACTCCACCGTCAGCTTACCTAATGACGTTTTATACAAGCGGATACAAAGTCGCTTTTTGTACCTTTCCGTGTTTGTAGTTAAACAGTCGGGTGACTAAAGATCAGATCGAGCATTCATGTAGATGACTAAATCATACCCAACATGCATGTAACCATCCAGCTACAAGCGTGACTAAATAAGAGATGAAATGGATTGCAGACTCTAAGAATTATTTTTTTTTGCACTTTTCACAAAAGTGAAACTAATTTGGATAGACTCAAAGGAAATAATGCTCTGTTATCTTAATTATTTCTGTTAAAGTTTATTGGAAAACCTTTGCAGGCGTCCACCATGTTGCCTTTCGCGGAGTTGCACCTTTGTTGGTTTTATGGAGGAATTTAAACGTCTTGTAGATACAATACTGCCACCTACTGGACTGGAGCCAAATCTGCCAGTCAAACCAAAGGCTCCGTTTCAGGGTTAAATATGTTCCGTTCTTAAAATACCCCAGATAAAATATTTCAAATGCTATGTTCCACCATTCTTCATAGTCCTAAACAATTAGATTGTTAAATGTCTCAACGGATAGAGCGGCTTATTAGTGCACGCACTGAAACTGTAGCACGTCGGAGAGCCAACATGTCGGCGTTTCCGGTTTCCTGATGCCTCCGACTTAAAGGGGCTTTAAGTTTTTTTTTTTTTTTTTTTTTTATAAAAACCCGGTCGGCGTTAAAGATGGCGGCTGCTATGGACGACGAGTTCGAAGATGCACCTGATGTAGAGCCGCTAGAACCGACGCTGAAAAATATAATTGAGCAGAAGTCGCTAAAATGGATCTTCGTGGGAGGAAAAGGCGGCGTTGGGAAGACGACGTGCAGGTAGGGAAGGACGGGGCGGGGATGGGCTGCGCGATGACAGCGGGGACGGCGATTTAGAAAGGGATTACCAAGTAATTGTTTCTGGTACATTGATTTTTAAAGCATAACCATGCAGAATTGAAGTCTTCCCGTTCTGCTTTCCGTAAATGTAGTATGACGTGAGGGAGTATTAAGTGTTACGCAGTTAACAGGTGTACGCCAAGTAACAAATGTGTTTGGTGCCGCCACCGGTGATAGTGTTTTAGGGATATAAACTGTGCCTGAGATTCGGCTCTCGCTTCATATGCTTTACCAAGCGGATGGGAGCCAAGTCCCCCCCCCCAGTGATCTGATGTCCAGAACGCGCGGGGGGGCAGGGGGGTGAAAATTAAGAAAAATACCTTGCGGCAGTGACGTGGCAGCAGACGGGACAGTTGCAGTGTGACGGTTGCAGTGTGACATGTCTGCATCAGTGACGTATGCGATGCAGGGCGGCTAGGTACCGGACTTCCCTGGTGCTTCGGAGGCTGGACTTGGCGGCCAGAACTTTAGAGCAAAGAACTTTGCAGTTAATGTTTTCTATACCTTATTCGTGTTTCACTGCACGTTTGTGTTAGGGTATTTCTCTGTATAATTCTGATTGTAACTTGATACCTGATATCAAAGAGAATAAAATACCATGCACCAAGACCTGACCTTTTGTGTAAATATGTTAATGGACCGGTCTTGCCTGCTGAGTATCTGCATGTCATTTGTCGGCATGAGTCATATCCAGGTGATTTTCAGATGTCTTCTAAAGAGCATTTGGTGTGCAAGGTATTGACATGTGGTCTTGTCTGATGGTGTAGCTGCAGTTTGGCGGTCCAGTTGGCTAAGGTGCGGGAGAGTGTGCTCATCATTTCCACAGACCCTGCCCACAACATCTCTGATGCCTTTGACCAGAAGTTCTCCAAGGTGCCCACTAAAGTCAAAGGCTACGATAACCTGTTTGCTATGGTTAGTATTCCAGCTGCATTCTGGGGGAATTTTCCTTCTGGGTTTATGTATGAGCTAACTATCCACCATGGCAAGGACAAATATTTTTTAGTATGTTACACATGAATGTTTAGTTTTAAATAAATCATCCTGTCAGCTTAAGTGTTTATAATCAGTTTGTTTGGTGGCGGGATGCATTCATTTTGAGTCATGTGTTGTAGCTGTCATGTGACTGACCTTCCCGGATTGGGCGTTGTGTGCTCGTGCAGGAGATTGACCCCAGTCTCGGGGTGGCGGAACTCCCAGATGAGTTCTTCGAGGAGGACAACATGCTGAGCATGGGCAAGAAGATGATGCAGGAAGCCATGAGTGCTTTCCCGGGCATCGACGAGGCCATGAGCTACGCAGAGGTCATGAGGTTAGGGCTCCTCCTCATGTACGAACCATGACTGATGGCAACAGGAGCCCTTCGCGCTGGCCTTCAGTTTAATGTTGTAAAATAAGATTTGTTTTGTGTGTGTTTTGGGGGGGGGGGTGGGAGTTTGTTCATGCTTATTTTCTTTGTGCTTTTTTTGTTTGTTTCTGTGTTCCTTGTGTTGTACAGGTTTCCTCTAGGTATTCAGATTTTCTTCAAGACTGTTAACATACAGCTAGGTTAACCTGTGTCTTTAAATCGCCCAGACTCATGGTGCATGTGTGTGTACCCTACAGTGGAGTGGCTAGGCAGCCTTGTGACTTCAGCAAGGCCCCCACCTTGACACTCACCCTGTGTCTCTTGTTAGGTTAGTAAAGGGAATGAACTTCTCAGTGGTGGTGTTCGATACGGCCCCCACCGGGCACACGCTGCGTCTGCTGAACTTCCCGACCATCGTAGAACGGGGGCTGGGCCGCCTCATGCGCATCAAGAACCAAATCAGCCCTTTTATCTCGCAGGTTGGTCACCCTTATATGACATCATGCACTGGCGATGATGTCATGCACACTTTGCTGACCTCACTCTGCCACGGTAATACCTGTGCACAGCAAAGCTGCATTATGGGATTTTATTATGTTTTTTTTTGTTTTTTTTTTAATAACAAAGTCTACCATAATATACCCACCCCTCTCCGCAGATGTGCAACATGCTCGGTCTGGGGGAGATGAATGCCGACCAGCTGGCCTCCAAGCTAGAAGAGACTCTCCCCGTCATCCGCTCCGTCAGCGAGCAGTTCAAGGACCCGGTAAGGGATCCATTATTCTCATGACTGCTGTAGCAAAGACTTCTGGTCCACGTCCCAAGTTACCACTTAACCCACATTTCTGTAGCGAAATATCTGTGTGAAAGCAGCGCTGATCCCTGTAGTGGCGCATTTAAAAACAGCAACAGTTTAAGCACCTGGCCTCCTGCTTGGTTCTCCCCGCAGGACCAGACCACATTCATATGCGTCTGCATCGCCGAGTTCCTCTCCCTCTATGAGACGGAGAGGCTGATCCAGGAGCTGGCCAAGTGCCAGATAGACACGCACAATATCATTGTCAATCAGCTGGTGTTCCCCGACGCCGAGAGACCCTGCAGGATGTGTGAGGCACGCCACAAGATCCAGTCCAAGTACCTGGACCAGGTAGCCCCCCCCCAAATAGGGCAGTGTTTCCCAACCCAGTCCTCGGGGAACCCTGGACAGTCCCTCCCAGTTCCCAGCCAATCGGGAACACCGAATACCTGGTAGGAAGCAAAAACATGGGCTGTCCGGGGTTCCCTGAGGGCTGGATTGGGAAACACTGCATTAGGGTGATCAGTCCTTAACAATGAATATGCTAGTTTTCACCCCCTAATCTGAGACGAGACTTGAACCCTGGTCTCAGTGGTGTGAGGCGACAGTGCTAACCATTGTGCTACCGTGCCACCCACACCTACTTCATTTAAATCAAGTGTGATGAAAAATACTGTTACTGACAAAAATTCATGTAACCATGCGATAAGAACTTTGTAAAATTACCCCTTATGTCGTTCTTAGGTCACAAACTTAAGTTTCAAAAAGTATGTCCCAAAGTAAACCAACAGCAGTATTTTACTGGGCTTAAAAAATACAGCAAATGGTTTATGAAGCGTCCTTTTGTCCATCACTACCAAGCAACCTATTTCTGTTCTCACTTTTTTTTGTTGTTCTGCAGATGGAGGATTTATATGAAGATTTCCACATTATCAAGTTGCCCCTATTGCCCCATGAGGTTCGTGGGGCAGATAAGGTCAACACTTTCTCCCAGCAGCTCCTGGAGCCCCACACCCCTCCCAAAAAGTGACTTACCACCAACACCCCCTCCCTCATCCCCAAGGTCCCCCCAATGTGTCACCTCGCTACCGCTGTGATGTCAATGCCTAGGAAAGCACTACGGCAACATGATGTACAAGTGAACAGTTCAGTTCCTTTAGTCGCTCGTTACCCTTCTTTGTATTTTATCTGGATATTTCTCGAGAGGAAAATAACTTTCCCCTACAACGTAGGTGACATTTTGTTTTTTGTGGTACTCTGGTTAAGTGTAGTTTCTCACCAGCGCTGAGTTTTCTTGGCTGGGTCACCTGTGGATGGACCCGCTTTCATGGGCTGTGTGTGGCACCTGTGACTAACATGTTCTGATCCTATCAGGAGGGTGAAGTGAGTCTGGCTGTAGCCTTTCCATGGATGTGCAGTCAGACTGTGTGATGGTTGATATGGTTACTGATTCTTATGTGTTAATAAAGTCTGAGGATTTTGGAAATCACTGCTTACATCTTTATTATTAAAATCCATGAAGGTTAAATGGGAAGCAATTTAATTATTCAGATGTTTCTACACTTGCTCTGTACCCAATTGTTAAATGGCAATTCGCTTACATGAATCTGAAATCTGGTGTGTTGCTTTGAAACCTTCAATCCTTTTTGTGTGTAAAAAGGAAAATAGCTAAAAAAAAAAAGTTTTGGCAAATCGATACACCCACCATGTCACTGTGACTTCTTTAAAAAACATTTTGAATGTTTTCACTTCAAATGTGTAGGACACTACATTTTAAATTGATCCAAATTTATTCAGAGCTGAATCAGTTGTTATACTAGCAAAGTAAATGTGAAAATGAGTGACAGCCATTTTGATTATGTACTGCTAAAATTTTTACTTATAAATTGTATAAAATGCTGACGACTTTGCACACTTTCAGCTGTGCATGTCTGTTACTCTGTGTGCCAAACGACAGGTGGAGAAGTGTTTCGATAAACAGGCAGAAAGAGGTAAAGTGAGAGAGACACCAGGCGGACAAACGCATCTTGGCAGTCAGGGATCCTGATTTATTTTAGTGCAAACCCTAAGCCTCATCCAGCACACAGCTTATCTACACTAACTCTTCCATTTAGCGCTCAAGTGATAAATTAACTAAACCAGGCTCCAAATTTCTAGAAAAAGAACACATACTAGGTAGCTCAGTTCAAACATCATGACAGTCTTCAGACAGTCACTAATACAGAAATCAAACATCCAAAATACCATAAATGTTTCAAAAAAATAAAATCCAGTGTTTAAAAGGGACTGCAGTCCCATGCAAATGAGGTACAGGGCATTTTAGTTTGCATTGCGTATTACAATACAGCACCATCGTATTCATATCAGCAGGCAGCCAGTGCCAGGCAGCCAGTGCCAGGCAGCCAGTGCCAGGCAGCCAGTGCCAGGCAGCCAGTGCCAGGCAGCCAGTGCCAGGCAGCCAGTGCCAGGCAGCACCTTCCATAGGCAACACAAGCTACTTCACATATCGATAAATTCTACACTGTATTTGACTCTGACTCCCTCAAAGCAAGAAGCCTCCAGTCACAATCACACACTTTTTGGCCTTGTGCATTTAAGACCCAGAGGAAAAGGGTGCTGGAACCAAAACGTACTGGGTTGCGGTCACAGGATCTGAATTGCTTAGAAAAGCTGTAAAACTTGATTCGAAAAATCTAATTACTAAAGTAAATCAGTGTTCTTTATCCGGCAATACTAAGTGGGAAGAGTAGTTCAATGACTGGAAAAATAAGCTCCACTCATTGCAAACAAACATTCAAGACACTTCCACGGTAATTAAAATAACATAAAAACTTTAAACTGTCACAGCAGAACACAGAACGACAGACATAGTTTAAAACAAATGACGTGAAAAGCAGTGACTCTGCTGCCTCGAGGTGGAGCAGTGGCCAATAGCCAGGCAATGACTTATCACATGATCATCAGAGCCACTCCCCCTGCCCCACCCTAGTCAGAAGCAGTCTACATTACTCTCCATCATACCTATATATAATATAATCACTTACAATACATTACCACAGCCCAGAGGCTAAAAGAGACAGACATTTCCCACTCTCGGCTCCTCAATCATACAAAAGACCTCCATTACTTCACAGATAACGGACAAAACTTGTAGTAGGAAAAAAAAAACCACGATCCAAAACCAATACAAACATCTTCCCATAGCAACATGTAACAATCCCAAAGTGTCCAAAGCTCAACATTTTAAAATGATCATATATAAAATCTGACGGCGTTGCCGTCAAAGAACACATGCAGGGAGCATGCTCCCATTTTTGTATTTTAAAGAAGTGAGTACAGTCCCGGTAAATTCTTGGCAGTGTGGCACATGCTTTTTGAGTTCATGACCACTGAGAGAGCCTGTAACAGTCAAGTGGTGCAATTCCAGGATAGATCCACAAGGGGGCAGCCAAAGTCTTCCACAAAATAGAAAACATTGGTTTCAGAAAGAAGTGCACAAATTGAGATCCTGGCAGCAGTGATCTACACCTTCTCGTACCTTCTCTTCTCCTGTCCTCTCACACTTTCCCCGGCTTCTCTCCCTCCAGCCGAGCCTGCAGTCTGGAGGTCAAACCCCTCCTGCCGTAGGTAGACTGCCTCTGCTGGGCCAGGAAGGACTGACCCTGAGCCGTGGAACCTGACCGTTCGCTGGTCACCTTCTGGTGCAGAGCCATTCCCTGGAAAGTGTGACGATGACAGAGGCCCAGACTTACACCAGTTCTTTGTCACCCTACTCACAGAACCCAGCATCACCACGCACTCCAGAAAGTGACACGGCGCAGTGTGCCCACACACACACACACTCACCATGTTGTACCAGGCATTGATAAGGATCCGCTCCTCCTGGTCGAATTGGGGCCGGACCTTCTGAAAGTCATGCTGCAGCAAAGAGCCACGTGAGGGTCAGTGGAGATGTCATGCAGTCTGGGCCGAGCCTAAGTGAGACACTGGCGGGCGGCTCACCTCGACACCCTGGATCTTCTGGTTCTTCCCGGGCAGCTGGCTGTTGTGCGCCCGCGGCTCGGGGGAGACCGTCACGGCTGGGGGCTGGGGGTTCCGCGTCTCAGTCACCTGCCGGCCGAACGCAACCTGGTCACAATGTCACCCACTGCTGGCCGACAGACACACGAGGAGCATGTCCAGAGTCCGTCTCACCGCATGAGCCGTCTCCGTCGCACGTCTGTACTGCCGCTCCATGCGCTTCACCTCCTCATCCTTCCTCCTCAGCATTTCCTGTAGCTCGTCGATCTTCCTCACCACTAGAGGGCGGAAAAGAGTCGGTTAGCCAGACGGGGTTGATTAACTACGAAAGCCAATGCCGGCAGAGGAGCCTCACCGCTGGCGTCGACCCGGGGCTCCAGCCTGTCGATAAACTCCCCCTTCTTCTGAAGGTCAGAGGGCATGTCATGGACCTTCTCCCTGCGCAGACAGACAAGGTCACCTGGAGTTACATGCTGGTGTGATAGAGCTCGAACCAGCAGGCAGAACTCAGGGACAGCGATCGACTAAAAACAATGCTAATGCTAACAAGTACAGTAATAAGGCTGTTCCGTTTGTGAAGAAGCACCATCACCCATCGGGGAACGACTGGGGGGGTCAGATGCATGGAACTGCATCCGGGGGGGGGGTGGGATCAACAGGACAAGTGGGGCCCTTGGCACTGAGAAAGCAGAAAACTCAACTTACAGGGGTTCTGACAGTCTGTTCTTCAGCAAGGGCGACTGCAGGGAGGGAGGAAGAGACATTAAAATGTCAAATTAACATGAAGAGCCCAAACTGACATTTAAGCAAGCAGGCGGTGCCCCGGCTGTCCTGACGGCGGCAAGTGAGCAGGGGAGGCGGGGAGGGAGACAGACAGGGGGCGTGTGTCACCGCAGCGGAGTGTCAGGTGGGAAGGCAGAGTCACGTGGGGCCTCACTCACATGCGGGGACGGCCTGTCCCCTGACTGCAGGGCCGTCTGCAGCTGCTGCAGCTGGGAATGCAGCTCCGAGATGCGCAGCTGGTTCAGCCTGTGGGGTCAGTGGGCAGACAGGAGTGAGGCGGCGAGGTGGCCAGTGAGTCACACACACACACACACACACACACACACACACACACACACACACACAGAGCTCGCTGTCCTTCTGCTGCCCAGAATACATCCCACGCACAACGCCAGACGGCACCGGTCTTCACAAACACCTCCCCCACACGCACAGGCTGGCCGGCACACACTGAGCACGCTCCAATCTGGCCGCTCCTGCCCACACGAAACACCGGCTCCCCCTGGAGCCGGGGGGGGGGGATCGGGGGACGCACATATGTACGGGTAACCTCGCACAACAGTAAACCCTTTACCGCTGGCAAACCGAACGAGACTGCTTTTGGTCCAAACAATGGTTTTTAATTTTTAATTAACTGGCAGAAGGCGCACCCCCCCCTCCCGAGACAGACCTGTCCTGCTCCTCCATGGCACCCTGGCTGCTCCGTGATGCCCCCAGCACGGCCCCCAGCTCCTGCAGCTGTCGCCTGGAGTCTTCCTCCTGGGCACGCAGCTGCCTGTTCTCCCCCTGTAACCGGAGCAGCGTTTCCCTGCCAGGACATCAACAGGTCAGGCGCCCGAGTAACTAGTCAGCTGAGGCCAGCCGCCCCCCCACTCCCCCGCCGGATCCTCACCTGAACTCCGCGGGCATCATTTCTGCCGCCAGGTTTCCCACCGGCTCCCGGAGCGAGGCACCTGCGGGCCAGCAGATGGCGCTATCAGTCAAATGGGCCGAGGCAGCATTCCATGTGCCGAGTGAGCGGGGCGGGGGCGTACCTGCTTGGCTGAGACAGGTCTGCTGCATCTGGGAGCATCGCAGCTCCTCGCTGGTCTCCCTCAAGGCGTCCCGCTCCGAGACGAGGCGCTGCATGTGTGGATACGGGCATCACTCAAAACGGGCCATTTGGCCGTCGCGGAAATCAGCGCCCCCTGCTGGTGCCACACCCACCTCCCTCTCCTTCAGCAGCGACTCGTACTTGTCCTGCAGGGTCTTGTACTCAAACTGCCACTTCTCTGCCTTCAGGGCCTCGGCCGAGTGCTTGGCCTGGAGCTCCTGTACCTGGGGGGGGGGGGGCGGGTGTTGGGGTTCACCTCGTGTACAATTATGGGTAACGGCTCAGGCTGCGGCTGTACTCCACCAAAGCCACGCCCCTCGCCTCACCTGCAGCCTGCAGGCGTCCAGTTGCCCCCGAACTGCGCCGCTCCGGCGCTGCTCCTCCTCCAGCTCACACGTGCGCCGCATGTATGCCGCATTACGCTCCTCCAGCAGCCGCACCTGCCGGCGCAAGTCGCCCAGGTCCTCCAGCTTGCGCCGGTACGACTCCACCAATGCCTCCAGCCGGCCGGCGCGGTCCGACGAGTGCCTGCGGCGGGTCGTGGGGGGAGGGGGTCCGGCAGGTGAGGAGCCGAGCGACGCCACCGGGACCATCACGCATTCTCAGCATTTATGTTGCCATAGGAACAGAGTGGGCGGACATGTGTGAGGAATGTAGTTTTGTGGGCCTCAGCACTGTGAGCCACATTAATAGCTACTTTCGAGCCCCCCCCCCCCCGGGCCCTGCCCCCTGTTCCCGGCCACGCCTCCTCTCCCCACCTCAGGACGTCCATCTCGTCCTTCAGGCTTTGTGCTTCCTGGGCCAGCCTGGCCAGCTCCTCACTGCGGCGCTGCAGGTCCTGCAGCTCACGTTCCAGCAGGTCCCCGCGGGCTCGCATCTCCTCGCGGGAACTCTCCAGCCTGCAGGGGGCGGTAAACCGCACCATACATACAGATAGCACGCTTTAATGACATGGCCTCAAGGCTCCTGGTGAATTCCCACAGTAAGATCCCCAGCTATATAAAAGTGCATATTTACATTAATCTGTAAAAAAAAAAAAAAAAAAAAAAGAAGTGTTGACTAAGCCCTAAAAGACACTATGAAACCCAGTTATCCCACAGGGGCTTGCCCACACCCCCCCACCTGAAATTCTCCTCTCGCAGCTGCTCCATCTGACTCTGAAGCAGCAGCACCTTCCTGCCGCTGACGCTGTTGGGCTCGTCAGGGCCGTACAGGGGGGCACTGTGGCTGAGCTGCTCCCTCATCGACCGCGCTTCCGCCTGCAGCACCGTCTTCTCCTCCAGGACCACCGACAGCTGGGTTGGAGGGGGGAGCAAAGGTATCAGATGCTGTGGAAGCCTGGCAGAGCCAAAGGGAACAGGCGGGGTGTGGCGAGTGGGCGGAGCCTCACTACAGGCTAATGCTAAAGGCTAAAGCTAAAGGAGGGCAGAGGAACGGGCACTGGGCGGGCAGCCATGCATGGGTGACGGCAGGAGCCTGGAGGGGGCGAGGAGGGGAAGCAGCTGAAGTGGAAGGAGTCCTCTTCTCTCAACCTGGAGACCAAGGCCTTCTACTGGGGGGGGGGGGGGGGCACCGGAGTTTGGAAATACACAAGACGGGAACACCCTCGGAAAGTAAGCCATGAGTTTCAACAAGCTCACTGCAGACCAGAGAGCGAAGCCAGAACGTGGGGGTTACGCCTGAAGCTGGAGGGGTTGTTGTGGGATTACGTCTCACTTCCGTGGGGGATCGGACCTGCAGAAGTGAGCTTCCAGAACCGGAGCGGAGCCACACACACGGATTGGGACACACGCTTACACACAGCCGCTTACACACAGCCGCTTACACACAGCCGCTTACACACAGCCGCTTACACGCGGCGCCGGGTGTGTTTTGGGCCGGCATGTTCAGGGACGACTCGGGTGGCATGACGAGGCCCCCGGAGGCTACAGGTCTGTGAGCGTCATGCTGACAGGCAGAGTGAGAAAGGAAGAGGAAGAAAGACAGGCTGCCTCCGGGCAACGCAGCAAGGGGTCCCAGCGGGACCAGCCTACAGCCAGCAAGCACTCTCACCACAGGGAGGCGCAAAACTTACCGGTCAGACCTCAGCGCCGCACAAAACCCTCCCAGCCCTACGCTGAGTGACAAACAGATCGCTTTAGCGGCCAGCAATGCGAGCGGCGAGAGGAGCCGAGATCAGACCCTCTGAAATGTTCATATAGAATCAGTCTTCCAGGAATCAATCTTCCATGGCAAGGCAGAGTTTTTAACACCAAACTTCACAACACCTAAGCTGACTAACAGGCCGGCCACACTGCAATTAAGAGGGTTACACTGAGCATGCTCCACACTGATCCCGCCCCCTCCACCCCTTACCTGATGCTCCAGGTCACGGCAGCGCTGGTTCAAGTCATCCTCAGCCTCCTCACTAAGGAAATAGTACTTTCTGGACTGAAGGGGATTGGAACACAACACAGAAGGACAACAGGAGTGGTTATAAAACGAGAACCAAAAAAAAAAAACAGAAAAACGGCAGGAGGCACAAACCTGGTAGTCAAAGTCCGGGAACCTTTCAGGGCTTCCTGGTTCCGACGCGTCTTTGGTTAGAAGCTAGAAACGCAGCAACATCATCAGGGTAACAGGAAGAATGCAGCCAGATCTCTAACATGACAATGCTTTTTTTTTTTTAAATCATGCATGCTCTCATATACCAGTCAATATGGCACATTTTAGGTTGTTGTGAAAGGTTTCACTCAGCCATACTATGACAAATTAAGTACAGAATGGACTCTTACTTCCTGGATGGCTGTCATGACCACATGCTGGACCGACTCCTTTAGGGTCATGATCTGCTGAATGTGTTCTGCGGGGACAAACACAAAAGCAGTCAGTTCACGGTTCACAGGAGCCTCCCAACCAGGAACTACCAAATGTAGGCCTGTCTGCTAAACCAATGCACAAGGTTCACCTTGCTTTTTCTCACAGCTGACTGCACATCCCAGCACCAGTTGCACCAGTTTGCCCAGTTCAGTCACATTTCCCATTTCACCAATCAGGACGACATCTGGCAGGTGGTTGTCTGAGATAGGATGCCCTAGCACCTATAGAAAGGGGAGAGGGCCAGGAGCAGGTAGACTCACAGATTCCAGCAGTGTCACAAGAAAATAAACCCAAAAACTGTGACAAACAAGGCTACTCACATCATGGTAATACTCCAGTATACTCTGAAGAATCTTCTTCAAGTTGCTAACCTGTAAAAACCCCATTCACATTAACCACAGATTACATTTTCAAAGAAGTGGTTTCTAGCATGTCACCAGCAAATCTAATTCCATTAGGGTTTTCTTTAATAGCTAGCCCAGGTAATTAGATACTTAGGTAATAAGTTCAGTGTCTGATTGGTAAAGCAGAATAAGTAAGTGGGATTGGAGAGGGATGACCATCTAACCCAAACATCTAGCCCTAACCCACCTTTAGACGCCAGTTTGTGGCACTTTCCTCTTTGATCCTGCCAAGCCAGGCCTCGTTGAACCAGAATAGGTCTCTGCGGGCAACAGCACAGGGGAGACACTGTAAAGCGTATTACCCCGAGCCACATGACACCCCAGGACAAACGGAGCGGCCCTGACCCAGAAAGGCCCTCGGACGCCTGCTCTTACATCTTATGCAGCACGTGTGCGATGGCCACACCACTGGTCAGGTCCTGCATACTGGTGCAGCTGGGAACCTGAAAGGTCTGAAGCTGGGAGGTGTTCGGAGAGCCAGAGTTAAAGTGGATTACGAGAAAAAGAATTAGGATTTGCGGGTTCAAAATGAAAGAGGATTACCGCAAAAGGCATGCAGTAATTCAGTGTGGAAGCATTCATCAAATGTAATCACCGAGAGTAAATCACCTGCTACAAAATAATCGAATCTCTTTATAATTTAATTCATTTTGAGAAGATCGGAAACTATCATTAAACCTCTGAAAACTTCGATGGTTAACCAAGATTTCAGCGACGCCATTTGAGAAGCTAAATACAGCTCTACTATCCTGTTTTCCTCTCACGCTCGCCGGACATTAATCCTTGGTTTATATTTCAGATGAAACTGCATGTTTTATGTCTTCGTGTGTTAAATATTAACAGCTCTGTTCCGCCCCATGCGACGTTTCCACCTATGACTGCACAGTTTTGGAGGCTGCAACAAAGCAGTGACTGCGCTTTATACCGGATCGCACTTGTAGGCAACTTGGAGTCGCTCCTCGGATGAACCTGTCTATAAGTATTCCTTCGGATAGCTATAGCGATAAATGATATTGCATAAGCCTACGGAATTGCAAATAGTCCTTGTCTTTTTTAATGCGGGGTCCGAATTTGAAGCTCGATTCCCTGTTTAATACATATGCTAGGTAACGTTCGCTAACTTAAACTGTATTTGAAATTAACGGCGCCAGTGTACCAAATAGCATGAAATAGCGATACGCGTAGATTCATACAGAAAACTTACCCAGTTTAACAATGAGTCACACAGTTCCGCTTTATCCAAACTCATTGTGGTTTTACCTCAAGCACTTTATAAAATATATGTCAGTATCACACTAGCCCGCTTAACCAGGTGCCAGACCTAAATAAATTGGCCTCCTTTGTAATTTTGCTCTCGCATTTTCCACATATCAATAAACAAACTGTCTCGGTTGTCCTTCTACGGCCCCCGTACAAGACAATCGCCATAACAACGGATCACATAGGCGACCACCTAAATGCCCGAGAAAATTAAAATATTTTTGAAGTCCCTCCCCCCCTTTTTATAATTATATGGTTATACTTTTTTGTTTTTATTGTTTTTTTAATTTATTGTTATGTAATGCTATACTGTAATGATACTTTAATCTGTACTACAGGCAAAATAATTAAGTCAATGTAAAAAGACAAGGCAATTGCGGTGCAAGTAATAACGTTTTTTTTTTTAAATCATGCATCACAGAATAGAGAATGAGACAAAAGAGTAGTGGGAAGGAAGGAAAAGAAAAACAAACAGGATATCTGCAGAGATGCCATCTCATACTGTAATATGAGTGGCGTATATTCGCAGAATCGCCACTTCACCTAGGAGGGAGGGAGACGGGTCTGAATTCCTGTCATTTGCGCACTGTGGTATATGCTTAATGAATATGTGCCAGTTCCCAGAAAAAGAATTTTATGCATATACTCTTGCTGTAAGTAAGATGGCATGCTTCTGCACATTTTTTGACTGTCACTGCTTAACCTACAATGTACTAGCACCCACCCACATTTGAACTATTTTTCGTCCGACACTTGCCATTTGGACTGTTAAGTAAAAGAGCAGCTACTGCAGAGTTGAACATACCATTTTGAAAAGTATCATTTTGAAGATTAAAAGAATTATGCTGTAGATCGGTTTCTACGTGAAATCAGTTTTATTTTGAAAGAGACCACCACCAACTACAACAACAACAACAGCAATAATAATAATAATAATAATTAATAATAGCCCCTAAATGAAGTGGCATCGTGTCCAGTGTGTCCCCTGTCACGTGCCCTACACTTCCTGGGACAGCCTACACCCACTTCCCGCGAATATTAAATATTCATGGATAATAATAATAAGTTTAGTGAATAATATGGATCATACCAAATTAAAATTTAAATACTGTTTTTTAAATATCTTACTCCTTTAGATAGACGGTTGACCGCATATGAAATCTTAGAATTGAGTTTTCCTTGCGCCCATACTAGGCACTAGATGGCTCCAACGAACCAAGCAATCTTCCAATCTGTTTAACCCTTTTCACTTTCTACGCTTGTATTTTTTCGTTACTGTTGTATTTTTGACATACGATATAAGTCAAATGGAAATTAGTTTTACTTCAGAGTTCATGGGGGGGGGGGGGGTGTATCCCCTCTAACAGTACATTTATTTAGCAGATTGATTTTGTCCAAACAGGCATACAGATGAGGAAGGCTTGGAATCAAAGTGTAGGGTCAGTCAGCATCCCTGGGGGAGGCTGGGGTTTAAGGCTTGGTGACATGATTGGTCTACCGGCCATAGGACTAGAACTCACAACCTTCTGGACACAAACCCTTGACCTACTGAGCTACAGACCACCCATCCAGCTGTCTTCCAGCCTCTTATTTGGTACAAAAAGTCTGGAGACTAGCCAGAAATTCCGGGGAGCTTGACAAAGGGGCACTAGAGCCCCCTGATAGATTTTGCGGCGCGGTGAGGCCACGACGGTACATTTTGGGCCCCCTCAACACCCCTCCAACACTATGTGGAGGAAGACACTAACACTCACTGCAGCAAATTCAACACAGCTGTTCAAATGACCACTACTTTTTGGGAGCCGGGGGGGGGGGCTGTGCATTTGGTCCTTGGCTTAGGAACATACAAACTACACAGGAAGACACAGTGGGGACAGGAACTGAACCCACGACCCTGGAACCAGCTACTATATCCAGTGAACTTTGACCAGCTCCGAAGAGACCAGCCAGGGCTTTTGTGGAGTAACTGCTAGCCAGGAGAAACACATCAGCTTTCAGAATATATCCCTGTTCATATGCACAGGAATGGTTAATAAATCTTCTCAAAAATCTCGAAATGCACATTTATAAATTGGTGTAAAACGATTGACATCTAAAAGAGGTGAGAGGAAAAGACTGAGATGCCGGTATTTATTTATGGAGAGTGGCTGGTAAGAGTACTCACATGCCAATGTACACGCACAGCCTCCTACCCGCTCTGCCTGGCTTTCAGGCTCCACCTCTCACTCTCTCCATCGCTCCCTCTTTCGCTCCGCACTCAAGTACTTGTGTTTTTCACAGCATCTGTGCCAACTTCCTGTCCTCTCTGCCATTCTGGGCCAAGCCATCCATCTGTCCACCTGCTCGCTCCCCTTGCCCACCTGCGCTTGTGGAGTCGCTGATACTTCCTGAAACTCAGCACGGCCAGTTAGACTTCAGGGCATCCTCACCTTGTCCATTTGGATGACTGCAAACCCTGTGCAGTGCTTGGTTATCCATAAAGGCCGTTTAAATGATCAAGGTCTGTCTAAGTAGAGGATTCCATAGCGGCTCCTATATTGTGTCAACAGTGCAAAGCTTATGGGTTCAAATCCCTTAGACTGCACATAAATTGTGACTTTTCCCTCTTCTGTATGTTGTTTTTGGTAATAACATCAGGTAAATGAATTTAAGTAAATATCCACAAAAGTTTAATCTCTGGACCCTTTCTCTTCATGCTTAACCATCTCTCTCCCTATACACGTTGTCTGCACTTGTATAAATTGTGTTTGTCCTATACCTCAACAAGCTAAGTACACATAAATCAGATTTATGAGGTTTAGTGCAAATTCAATTAACTTAATTGGATTTGGCCAGTCAAATTAAGAATTACATAACCAAGGAGAGTGGCTCAGTAGGCAGCCCTATAGCCTCACACCTCCAGCGCTGTGGCTTTGACTCCCATTTGGTGTAGGCTGTGGGGTTCCTCCTGAGGTCATGCTGACTGGCCTGTTCCTCTCTGATTGGCTGGGGTGTCCTCCAGTCACCTGCCCTCTGCTACCTGGGGCAGAGTAACACCAATAGGAAGTTAGAAGTTAAAATAATATTTTTTTGTTCCCTGATGCGCGTGTCTTTGATGAATGTATGCCGTCTCGGGTTCTCCTCTTGGCTGTTTATTGATGTAAGTTTCCTCTGCTGTCACTTCACTTTCCTACGTCCCCGCAGCACTTAGCGGAGCCCACGCGCAGCCTCCCGGTCGCGGGGACACCAGCGACCCCAAGATAGGTGGGCAGTACGGAGCGCGCATTCACGCTAACAGCGCCTTTCTCAAAGTCCCTCCTCCGGTTCCTCTTTTCTCTTTTTTCTCCTCATTTGCTTTTTCACTTCTCCGTTTTTCACACACCCCCCTCCCCAGCGTTGCACATGCTCTTTAGGGATCACGGAGGGGGAGGGGGAGGTATTGTGTAATTGCTTGGTTTCAGAAAGCTGTGGTTTTCTGCGCTGGAAAGCAGTTAAAGGAGGGGCTTTTCGCTTTACAGTCTACATTTGGCACAGGGCATGACATTTTCGAGCAACCGGCGCGCAAATGCGGGAATCATTGAAACAGATGCCCTAAATCTCATTATCATGCATTTTATGACTTTTTTTTTCGCTTAAGCAGATGTTTGCAGAACTAGGGAGTTTAAAGGGGAATGCTTAAAAGGGGCATTTACACACACACATATATTTATATATTTTGTTCATCACGCTACCTTCCGGTTTTTTTTTTATCTCTTAGCTGCTTTCACGCTGCTGAATAATCAACCGCCGCATTTCTCCGGGGCTGGATGCAGCGAGGTACGATGCCAAGCGATGGCCAGAGAAACGGCGCAGCTCCGCCAAGCGAGGAGTGTGAAGTTTTAAACGTGCAAATAAAAAACAACAACGCCGTAGCCCTGAACGGCACAGTCGCTCCTTTAGAGGACACGATCCTGTGAGTTGCTGCCTCTCGGACCCGGGCACTGTAATTTGCTAGAACATCACCGCCCCCCCCCTCCCCCCTCGACAGGTAGCTTACCTTCACAAAAGTACAAGAAGGTGGGGCAACGGTGACGATCCTTCGCACCAGACATGAAGTCATGTACAGGTGTATAGAAATGACAAAGTGAAACTCCAGGGCTGTAAAAGCATTGTTACCTTCTGGTAACAAAAAACAGTGTTTTACTCACCCTGCAGATTTATAGTGCTGACTAAAACAGACAGGTGGTTGTTTTACCCTGAGAGTAAAATTCGAAAACACCCATTAAAACTGCAGAGAAGTGCGTAGCACATCAGTATATCAGTGAGTGCGCATATGTGTGAGTAAAGCAACCCATCAGAAGACAGATATGTTACATGATACCCCCCGACCAGCCGGCTGCCTTCTGAAGATTAAACAGACAGTAGAGGCTGTGTTACGTTACATTACATTATTCATTTGCTGAGCAGATGCTTTTGTGTGAAGCCACTTGCCGTTTAGCCGTTTATGAAGCTGGTTATTAACCGAAGTAACATCAAGAGTGTTGGTTGACACTCGAAAGATCAGAGCTGATGAACCTGTGACCTTTAGGCTCCGCTGCCCGGCTGAATCACTCTGCCTTCTCGTCGCCCATGGCTACTCGCTACCCTCCTGCTCTGGATGCCAGAATCCCCACCCACTCACTCTTTCACCCCAGGGAGCGCAGAGCCAGCATGGGGTGAGTCAGCTCCCGCTGGCTGGGGGGCCCAACCCCCAGGGAAAGTCCCAACATGTGTCTGAGGTTGGCCCGATCGCTCCTCCCTGCCGGGAGGTCACATGTGACTCCTCCGTAGGCAATGTGACACGGGGACCATTGTTGCATCCCCAGGAGAGGGTTGGGGGTGGGGGGTGGGGGTCTTCAAAGGAATTTCAAGAGGAACTGAAATTTTAGAAATGAAACCAATTAAAATTAATTATAGCTGAATAGCGTAAACTGGTCG